GGGGGGGACAAACAAAAAGTGAGTGTGTTGGCTCCTGCTGTGTTTCCACAGGCTCAGCAGAACGTCAGTCAGTCAGCAGCGACGTCAGCGTCACTCACAGCAGAAAAAACTGAAGTGACTGAGAAAAAGGCTGCATGCACATCCAGATTTCATTATTGACAGCATATCAAATTATCTGCTGAGCCGACGGGAACAGCTTTGTCCGCTGCAACCTCCAAATAAACACGAGAAACCTCGAGAGGAACTCGGTCGTATACACTGACAGATGTAGAGCAGGGTGTGTTTTTAAATTCAGAGGCTGGAAACTGAGTGACCACACCCTGCAAGAGGCAGAGATGTTGTACATCTTTAACATATGAAGACATTTCTCCTTCTGCCTGGGATGAGTGTGAGTGTGAGTGTGTGTGTGTGTGTGTGTGTGTGTGTGTGTGTGTGTGTGTGTGTGGTGGGCTGGACAGTTTTCCATTTGCGGCCTCTGTTCTGAAACGAGCATTAATCAAACATCATCACAGCCTGCTAGTTTAATTGAAAATGTTTTTTGGCCGAGCCTGACTTCCTGTCGACTTTGAGGTTGTGCACATGCGTTACCTGAGATGACCTCCAGCAGCAGCATGAGTTTGAGCCCATCCCTGAAGTCCTCCTCGATGTTCTCGATCTGCGTGCCGGCCTTCCGTAGGTGGGAGTTGCACCAAGCCGTGAATGTCTGTGCAGGAGACAGAAACAAGACACAAACTGAGTCTGAATGTTTTCCCAGCTTTTTTACAATAATAAACCACTTTGAGTCGAGAATCAAAGAAAATGAAATTCAATGGGCAGGAAGGGAAGTCAGGAGCTGCTTTGATAAGACAGGAAGTAGCAGGACAAAATGGGAGGAGACAGAAGTTAGAAAACAATACCAACACGTACAGTAAGAACTACCATAGCACAATTTAACCATTAAATGAAAATATAGTGAAGGACCTCTTTCAGACACACCTACATGTCAAACTACATTTCATCGCCACACGTTTCTTTACATTCGTCCTCTGAAACTATTTCAATAAAAACAGGGTAAATAAATCCAGCCTTTGTTTAATCTCGGGACTCATTCCCACACAGAAAAAAGAAACAGTCCCACTGTCACATCAGAAACTACCCGAGCATAACCCACAGGTTGAGAGACACTGCCATTAATCCTGAGAAGCCAAAAGAAAGATCTCGGCCATGATTTGAAAACCAGAGGGGAATCAAACCGACAAACATCTGTGACACATGTAATTAAATATCAGAATGGTGCACCAAATCACAAACACAAGACATCTGGGAAACACACACACACCAGCACAAAATCACACACATCAATAGCTGGTTGGAATCCCGTGTTTTTATGCTTCTGGTTTCCCAAACATTCCTCACAAATGTGTTTTGAATTATTTTATTTTGAAGAAGCTCGTGGCACCGAGGTAGGCACGAGACTGCAGGGAGGCGGGGGAGCTCTGTCACGCCACTCTCAAGAGAAGATCTCAGTTCATGGCACATCATCCGCCAGAGTGCCACAAACACTCGCAGCCATTTTTATGACTTGTCAGATCATTTAAGGGAAACATCTGACCAGAAAATACATGTTCAAATCTCCGCACTGTCAGTGAAGCTACCATCAATGATTATCAACACAAACAGATCAAAATAATGTTTTCGCTTTTGAATTTTTAACATAAACTACAGGGATAAATCTTGTGCTTTTCAATTCACAAACATTAGCTACAGCTGAAATATAAGACGAGCTATGAGAGGCAGCGTCCATCGCGTGAAGGAGGGAAGAGGAAACAGGAAGAGTGGAGTTCCTTTCCCAGCAAGAGGACGACTTTAAAAATACCAAAGACACAAATGACTTGTTTTATCTGGTTTGAACAGATTTCCAACAACACCCAGGAAATAACCTAGATATGAGCTCTACAGAGTGATACTCTAGTTTAATCTATGATAATCATCTCACAGGAACGCAGAACATTTAATGACAACAACTTCTTCCAAGAGAACCTTTGGACTCTCGGCCTTCTGTCCGTGATAAATTCAATATGTTTGTCAGCTCGTGCTCAGGGAAAAATATAAAAATGGGCTTTTGTCACAATTGTCTGAAAGTTGATAGGCTGAACAACTTCTAAAAGAAACAGACAAGTTGATAATGTGTCGGAGTGAGGATGAGGGGAACTGGTCCAGAAGGAACTGTACGGTACAGTGAGTGTGAACTGAGACTGGATACAACAGCTTTGAGTGAGAGATCACTAATGAGAGTTAAAGATGTGAAGAAGGAGCAATCCACTTCAACCTCACACCTCCTCTTCTCCCTCTCTCTCCTGCGCGGTGCGTTCATAAACATTACGACTGGGTGCGACTCGCTGCCCGGCCCCTCTCCCCACCGTCCCACCACGGCTGCCGGCACAAAGCTCCCATTGAGCCTCGTGGATAATAGCACCCTTCACTATCCCTCGGCCCGTTTTCCCCTCACTCTGTGACCCTCCCCTAGACCGATACCAACCCCCAACTCACCCGACACACACAATTATAGAGCTCCCTCCCTGAACTGAGACTGGACCGGCACAGGAGGAGGGGGAGGAGGGGGAGGAGGGGGAGAGATACATTTCACATAAACAAACAGACATTCAAAGTTAGGGGGGCAAGAGGGGAGAGAGCGGAAAGACAATGCCCCCTCTCCCACACACACACTCCCACCTCCCTCACAGAGTTACGGACAATGCAGCAGGAAGTGGCAGAGCAAAGACAGGAAGTTGGAGCTTAGTTTAGCACCGAGCGGAGTGAAGACGTATTCATCAATGTCACTGATTCAAACATTGATCACTGGAGCAAAGACCTTCAGTCCGTGATCATCAACAACACGTTCATATTCAAAGGTCATTTCATTCCCAAAAACACATTTCAACATCTGAATCAAGATTCATAACCAACAAGACATTTCATGATATGGAGGCATTGTGGCCATCTCTCAAATGAACACCATGAATATCTGAAGAACACAGATCTAGGTTGTGATATATTTAGAAAGATTTAGTGCAAATCTTCCTTCTTTCTTATACTTAATTTGCATTTTCTATCCAGGACGTTAACAGCGATTCTGCAGGTTTCAACAAGTTGAAGACTTTTTAAGATCAAAATAATGAAATTTAAAACCATCAAGGACGACAGATATGAAGGAATATCATAATCCCAGAATAACTTATACTTACTACCTAACTGCAATTAAGATCTATCAAAACTGTGGTCACAGCGTGGGGAGTAAAGTGCAGAACACAAAAGGCTCCTGCACGGTGGGAAGCTTTAGATTTAAGAAGCTTAGGAATGTGAAACAGTCAGTGACACTGGGAGTGGTGAGTCTGGTGACAGCAGCAGGTTGAGACCTGCAGAGACACTGAGATCTTAGTGTTCTGTGCAACACAACATGCTACAGATTATACAACTAATACTGCTTCATCCCCTCGGTCCAGCTCACCGGTTCGACTATGACGCCGTTAAACACTCTCTGCCTTGCTCAAGGACACTCCAGCTCGCACTTAGTAGAGCTTAAAGGAGCAGTGAACGCTGCCAAGAGTCTGACAACACGGAAGAAGAAAGAAAAAACCTTTGCTCTTTTGAAATCTGTCAAGTATGGTTTTGTGTATCAAGGAAACCCAGCATGCACCGGGCTGCCTCGTGTCATTCAGGGACAACTAGGTGTGGCGCTGCTGCTGGTAGAGTAGTGCTCAGATAGAGAGTGAATCACGATGCTGTGTCCTTCACACAAACAATAATGATCTTCCAACATGTTGAGAGAAGAGCTGATATAGTGTCTTGTTTACATCAACACCACTTAATTCTCTACAAGGGAAATAAACAGCGTCTTGATTTAAGTCTATAAAACTCGATAGCACAAGAAACATTTTAAAATCCTCTAGCTCACTGCCTCTTATATAACTTAGTTTAAAATACAAATGTCAACATTAGACCCTGTTCAAAATATCTTTCCTGCCACAATACAAACATCAACTGCTGCATATTTAATTTTTCAAATGGTTAAAATCTCATTTCTTCCTAATGACAGTGTGAACCGACATAACTAGAGCTGTTTGTGATTGGATCACCAGAGACACACGTTAATGCCAGCTCCTAACAGAGCCTTAGTTTTCCATTCTGTATTTAATTATTCTTAGGTTGAAGCATCCATGATGACAGCTGTGTTGCACATTTAACTCTGAAGGTATTCCTCTTGGTGAATTAACAATAATAAAATAAAAGTGGTCCCTCTAATCAGGACTCAGAGCGAGTTCTGCCAGTTAAAGCCTGTTAAACTTGTGCATGCTGCTGCTCTGTGTTGACCACACAGATCAGATCAGATGAGAGGATTTGTGACCTGAGCCGAGGACAAAGATAACAAGCTAAACGTCCGTGTGGCACAGAGAGAGAGAAAGAGAGGCTGGATGTGTTAAGAAGGTTTACATTTTAGGCATGAAGCCTGTGCTCTCATCCTCTTGTGTGTATTACATAACATGTGTAGCCACAGTGAAGAAAATCCTCCGTTATTACCACTACATGCATCAACAAGGACGACAATCTGACCTCAGGCCTGACACGGTTTAACCCTGAAATGTGTTTTGAAGCTTATTGTGATCATTTCACACTTCAATGTTTGGAAATCTTGGATTTAATACCAGGAAACCCTCAAATGGGATTAATCTGCTAACTGTGAGTTAAGTAGAGAGAAACAACTACTTTCTAGTGATGTCACAAACGTCCCAAACTTTTGTTTTATTATAATAAATAGCTGGAGAGATACATTTTCTTGTCTGTGCAGGACGGGAGGAAGGGTGAGAAAGAGGAACCACTGAAGTAGTATGCGAAAAAAGACTTCAACTTGGAAAGAAGAACTTTTGACCATGAGGTCAAATACTTGAGTTGAGGTCATGTCCTGCCTCCTGCACGCTCTACGCATGTCTGAAAATACCTCACGTTAACTGTGGCGTTCATAAAACAAAGTCAAGGTTCAAGATTCACTTTCGCATTGACCACACATGAAACAAGTGCAAAGTAGAACTAAATTACGTTGTATGCATTTTAAGATTGTAATTTAGAATGCTATGGGTTTTCTAAGTAGGTATAAAAAGCCATCTAAAGTTATATATATATACACATATATAAATATATATATACACACAAATACAAGAATAAAATGATAATATGGGACAAGTGAATGAATGAAATTACTCATATTGAATAAATAGATGTGAGGGGTGACTTTAGCTCATTTCCATGCTATGTTTGGGTGAAATATTCAGGTCCTCTGTCTAAGCTGCTCGTTAACCACACAAATGTAGTTCAATAAGTTTCCACTGATTCTGTGATTGTCCATAAAACAATGAGGGGAGTCTTCATCAAAGCAGCAGGTATCATGCTGATGTGTCTCTTCTACAAATGATCGGTGGAGAAGGTTCAGCTCAGTTCAGGTCGGAAGAGTGTAGAACTCTTTGTTGTCCTGGGAGTACGTCTGGAAGCTGTTAAGGCCTCAGTTATGTTTCATCATGGACACAAACACTGACAGCTGCGGACACCACAGACATTTTTATATTATACTCTGACGGAGGACATGTTCCATACAGTTGCCTATATACTCATGCAAGAAGAAGAAGAGCTGCTTTGTCTGCTGTTCTCTTTGTATTCTTTTAAATATAGAAG